TTTTATTCAGCAGGTCCTGGTATCAGCAGATGTGGTGTCACACATAGTCAAGAACCTGCCTCTGTCTTATTTCAATCTGCGAGCCTGTATTTTATTGCTTCACACAGACTTGTGAGCACAGGCACTCACTGAGAGGAAACCATCTTCCAACAGCGGGTTCCCTGCTTTCCTGACAGCCCACCCCAAGCTGCATGGGTTGAACCACCAGAAGTTCGACAATCTCCATTCCGGTCTTTCTTCCTCTTTATCCACCGAGCAACCCCTCATCCCCCCTCTCCATCCTACAACCCCTGCGCTGTCTACTCCCTTTGCCAGTACTAGCCCCAGCATGATGGCTTGTTGCGCCTCAGGCTTGTTTGGACTTGCAACCACAGCATCACCCTCCACTGCACAGACTTACCGACGCAGCAGCCACTAGAGTGAAAGATACAGAGGGACAGAGGGGAGGAAAGACAGACAGGGAAAGACAGCAGCACCACAGGAGAGAGGAGGGATCATCTGTCCCAGCAGCAGAGGGATCCACCTGTCCCACAGAGGAAGGGGCCCCCCCCACCTGATCCATCTGGTCGCAGGGGGGGACCCTGCGTGGCCAGGAAGGCAACAGGGACTATGCAGCTGGGACTGGTGGCGCTGGCAATGGTCTTCCTCAGCTCCATGGGTCACAGCGATGCTCTCAAGCTCTCCAAGGCGAGAAGGCAGAGACGGGGTGAGTTCTCTCTTTCTTCGTCTTCAGTGCTGCTGCCTTTTGTTTCTGCGGGCACAGTGGTGGATGTCTTGTAAACATTTAACAAGCAAAGTAAAGGTAACATTCCGTTTATCTTCCCGTCATCCTTAATTGTTTTTCCTACAAGGGTCATGCTAGGTTCAGTGTTTCTCCTGAATGACTCGTCTTTCTTCCTCCTTTTTAAGATCATGCCTCTCTCAGTTTATGTAAAACATTTATGCGTATTAGGATTGTTTATGGAGAGGGTTTTGATAGATTCGCCTTCAAAGCCATCACTCTTTTTGTGTCCGGCTCTGTGGGCATATAACGGAATGAGTACCGGACAGTTCTAAGCTCTGAATTGGACCGTGCTGCCTGTGTTGTTGTAAGCATTTTTCTGACCTCATGCAACCACAGAGATGGTGCTCAGCCCGACTTGCAGTATATCTCTGGCCTTAGAGCCTCAGTGCTGGTGTTACTGTCAGCTTTGAAATAATTCTTCCTTTACACACAAGGAGCTTTCAGCCAATGCCAAGCTCAGTCCAACCTCTACGAACCAGAATTCATATAATACCATGCCTGGCCACAGTAAGAGATGTGGTTTTATTAAAATCACACACGCTGGGAAAGAAGAACTGTTGTCTGTGTAATAGAAATAGAATATTTTTTAAGTAGACGCACATGTATATGCAATGCTTCAATGCTGTCACAGTTTGTCATGTGCCATTGTAATGAGGACAGAAGGATTTGGGTCATTCACCATATATAAGCGCCCTCTACAGCGTCAGTCGGTTGAGGATTTTTCCCCCCCAGATAAGGAAGTCTGAAATTTACAGCTCTGATATACAGCCTTTACATCTTTAATGTCATTAGATTTCTCTCTCTGAATGAGTTCAGTGTCATGCAGAAATCGGAAGTCTTTCTTTTTCAAAGCACCACGTCTCAAACAGTTTACAACACCACATCATCCGATTCATGCACTCCCCTCTGCTGTGGTTAAAGATTACTCCCCATGGCCAATATTAGTTTTTCTTCATTTGTGATGGTGAGCAACAGGACCTGGCTGTAATTGCTGCATTTCAGGTTACCGCAACTCACGCATGATATAATCTGTTCATGGGAGAACCCTTTCAACCCTTTTACCATCAGACTTATCTCTGGGAGGCGGGGCGGCAGATGGATTGCTTTGTGACAGTATGTATATTTAGAGTTGATACAGACCAGGAATGTAAATCATCTCCGACGACTGAGGTTTTGTCTCTGAATGGCTCCTAGAAAAAGGAATGGGCGCTTTGACACACTTTTCCTTGAAATGATTTAGATTAGTGGTTGCGTGTATCGGAACTGGTGAAACAGTCTGGGATTAAAAGGACGTGAAGTAAATGCATCTGCAATGCATTTTCAGACTTAGAACAGGGAGATACTTGCTGTTTGGTGCTACTATAAAGAAAACACTGGCAGTATTTGATTCTTGGCCATGTCTGTCATTATTGCAGTTTTTTGATACCCAGATCATTTCTGACTCACCCCGGTAGAGGCCTTGTCTGATGTTAGTTGCCTTATTTTGACTGACCCTTGCTGATTTTGACCGGCTCTTGCGAGGCTGTCAGCCATAATTACCCTGATTTCTCCAATGAAAATCTGTTCAGGATCTCCGGCTAGCATTTGAAGTAAACACTGAGTAACTGTTCAAACAAAGATGTTTGGCCTGGGCCCCGGTTAGATAAAACTGCAAGCATTAACTCGAGCTTGTTGGAGCGATAAAGCACTGGCAGGTTTATGGCTGGACCTGTGGAGATGCCAGCAACATATTAAAGAACAATGTTGTTCTCATAGGCAGAATGTTGACAAATGCGCTTTTTATTTTCTTATTAAAAATCATATTTGGCTGTAAACAATTGATCTTTTTATGTGATAGTACAACATGCAGTTCTGATGCCTACCTTAAAGGAATACTTAACCCCCACAGTGACTATTTGTTCAATCAATTAATTGCCCTCTGTTACCTTGAATTCTTGAAGAAAGCTTGGTCTTCCTCGCATGTCTCCATGGTGAATGTAGAATCCCAAAAACAAAAGTCTCCAAGTCTCATTTATCCAGCCGTATGCTCTTAAACTGCCCAAACTCTTGCATTTTGTTATGATATACAAATGATCATGAAGTATTCCTTTAAACTGACTGTTCCTTTCTCTCCGTTTGTTATGTTTATGTTTCCACAGTTAGTACTGAGGGGCCACCATCTTGCCCCAAAGGCTGTGACCGATGCTCTGAGTATAACGGCTGCATTAAATGTAGGCCGAAGCTCTTCATCTTCCTGGAGCGCAATGATATCCGTCAGATAGGTGTGTGCCTCGCCTCCTGCCCCATGGGATACTTTGGTATGAGGAACCCAGAAGGCAACAACAGATGCACCCGTGAGTTTTGCTTTGTGTAGATGCACATCTGTGAACATCCAAATACATGCAGGCTCGAGCTCACCCGCTGGCAACAGCCTGCTCTATAAAAATCCCCACAGCTGAAGTCGAATCAAGTAGAAGTGTAAACGATCTCTTTGTCTTTGGCTCATCATCTCCTGTTTGTGTACAATATGACGGTATTTGGAGAAGTAGAGGGATACCCTGCTAGTTTCTTTGTTTTATTTGTATATTTCCACTTTGCTGCACCACTTTTTATGTGTTTAACATACCTAAAATACGCATGCAGAGAATATTGATCTACCAATTGCCACACTCTTTATTCTCCAAAGTTATTTCTACATGTTAGTCCTCTTAATAACCAATCTGTGCTACTATTTGTCAATAATTATGAGTGAATACGAATGACCAATTGATGAAATCCTTCTGTTGCTGCTACTCATCCTGGTGCAAAAGGGAGAAAAAAACCACCCACCAAATCCAGCAAAGTATTTGCTGAACTGGAGGAATGTCAGTTAAATTTTTAATGGCAGTGATCTTCATTATTATCTTTATAAGCACATTTGGCTTATTTAGAAGGTGGGTGAAGGATGACTACACTCACAGGAATTACCAGAGTTACTCAGTTGGTTCTGGTGGCACTGGTCCCGTACTGTTAGGCGAGGAGTGCCAGCACCTCAGTCTGTTTCCCATTGCGTGTGGGCAGAAAACACAATTGGAACAAAATCACAACAAAAACATCTCAATTGCATTGTTGTTTGTCTGTTTTTGAGAGGATGTTTGTGTTTTTTATTTGACCCTCATGTGCAAAGTTCATGCCAGATCTCAACCAGTTTATTATGCCTTCACTTTTACACATTTCATTCTGGTACTTGACTTACTAACTGTATCATAAGCAGTCTGTATAATCTTTAAAGTAACTATGGAAAAGTTTTTTTTTTATGTGAGCGGGTCTAAAATGATCATCCTTTGCAAAGTAAAACATTTCTTACCTCAATAATGAACTACAATTTTCAAAGTTAAATGATAATCATGGCTTAAAGTTAATTGTAGGTGTTTGGTGGCCAGCGACTGTGCTCAGCAGCCTGTTGTGATTTTCTGCATAAAAAATGCAGGCCATTCTTGTCTGTAGATGTTTTTCTTGACTGGCCATTCCTGCATCAAATAATACCCGTCAGATGTGCTAAATCATACTTTCTCTAAACCCGAAGCAGAGATGCTCACAATTCATTATTTCAAGTCCAAGTCAAGTCTCAAACCATGTTGGCGACAGTGTTTTAGTTAAGACCAACTCAACTGAGACCAAGACCGAAACAAGACCAAGACTTTGAGGGGTTGAGACCGAGTCAAGTTTAAGACCAGACAGTGTGAGTCCCACACTGCATGACACACTTAAGATATAATGTGGAACATGCAAACCAAATAGGCACTCCTCAAACTGATCTGAAAAAAAAATCGGGATTTCTCTACATTCACGTCTTTTATTGCTGTACTGTATATACAGTGGGCCTATAAGTCTGCATGTAAAAGTGCACCAAGAGAAATGTCTTGATAAAATAACTAAAAGGCATTAGGGAATTCTGTGAGCAAACAAATACAAACAGGAGCGCAAATCAACTTCCCCATCTTTCTATAAGATTCTCATTTTATAAAAATGTAAAATTAATATCATGTTAATACTATATGATTACATAGTGTAAATAATCCAGTGCCTCTTAAAATAGTTACAGACTCTCTCCCTACCCCCATACACGTTGTTTTTAAGAATAATTCATTTTCCAAAATGCAAAATTAACAAAGTGAAAGAGGAATTTGACTGATGTTCAAATTTTCTTTAGATATCGCAATAATATTGTTATTATTGATATGATAATAAGAGTGACATTCACCTCAGACATTTTCATTAATGTGCCAACAAAATTAAATGAAATACAGATTGCTCATGAGTCCCAAACCTCGAGTCCAGGTCAAGTCTCAAGCCTTTTGAGGACGAGTTTCAACTCAAGTTTCCAGTCACTATGTGTGCAACTTAATGCGAAGATATTTTTCACTTTTATCAAAATATTGGATAATTTACAACAAATTCAACCCCGTCCCGGTTTGTTGCAGAGAGGTCGGAATTTCCTCAGCAAATTCTTTGTGGAGGCCCACAGTGGCTAACCGTGGTTATTATCCAATCATCTGACTTCATACATATCATCCCAGAATGTCTTTTTCTCCACATTTGACTTACATTATAGGGCTGCACACATCAGTACTGTCAAATTTAGTTGTCAACGGTTTAAAAGTAGTAATTGGGAGCAGGAGGAAGGAACCCAGTGAGGATTCAGTGTTAGGTCATTTCTGACCTTGGCATCGGACCAGCTGGAGAGCAAACATTCTGACTGTAAGTTTAGTGCACATCAATGAAGTGAGTCTAGATCTGAATAGAAAAATAGAAATATTGACAGGAACCCACAGATTTCCATCTTTCTCGGCTGTTTGTCATGAGAATAAAGATGTGCCTTTCAAGATGAGGCCAGAGCTTTTTGGGGTCTTTTAAGTCGTCTGCTTTTTATCCTCCCGTGCTTGTAATTATCCAAATTTCAAGTTTTTTTTTTTTTGAGAGATTTTAATGAGTCTGTGGTGTGCAGAAACTCTTGAGAAACCCACTGAAGCGATACACTCCTGGCTGCACTCATTCACAGGCCTGTGGTGCATGTGTTTTTAAGAGAAGAAGAGTGGTCCTCCTCTAAATAGACAATGTGTTGTTTAATCGCTAATAAATCTCTCAGAGAAAATAAAATCCAAGCTCCTCTTCCTCTCTCTCTGGAGAACCATTTGCTTTTCCAGCCGACAGTGCAATGAATAATCCATTCAAAGAGATTTCTGTGTTTCCAGTAGAAATTTCTCGAGAACAAGATAAAGGATCTGAAACTAACAAAATGAACACCGACACAATGTGACTAAAAGTGATTTGATCCTTTCATTTGATCCTCTCTTTTTGTCTTTCAGAATGTAAAATAGACAATTGTGAAGCGTGTTTCAATCGCAATTTTTGCACAAAATGTAAGGAGGGCTTGTATTCACACAGTGGGCGATGTTATGTCAGCTGCCCTCCAGGCCAGCGCACCGCCAATGAGTCTATGGAGTGTGTTGGTGAGTGACCTTTGACCTTAACCGTTTACTCATCTCAAAACTTTAGCCATAGCATCTCTTAATGTTCCTATAATGCACCAGCATGTATTATTTCTTCTCTTGATCTTTCCTGTCTGTTCTTTTCTTTTTGTTGTTCTTCTAAATTTGTAAAAGATCACAAGTTAGAAGATATATCAACGTAACCGTTAAAAACTAGCTTTTGTTGGGAGCGCAGTATACATTTTCATACCTCTGAAGTAAAAAAGATAAAATTGTATTCAGATTTGGGAATAGCTTAAAGTCATTATTCTGAGCTAAAACTGCTGAGCTGTAAAAAGCAGATGTGAAGGCTGTGAAACAAATGTGTGATGTTGGAGCTGTGGAAAATTCACTCACTACCTCAGTCCTCTTTTTTTATCCAGGTCAGCGTCCTGAAGAGTGTGAACTGGGCGAGTGGAGCGAATGGGGTTCCTGTATGAAGAAGAACAAAACATGTGGATTTAAGAAAGGCTTGCAGTCTCGAGTCCGCGTGCCCCTTCTGCAGGTCCACATCCCAGACACCTCCCCGGCCTTTGTACCCTCACAGACCTGTGCTCCACAGACAGAGAGGAGCAAGTGCATTGTGACCAAGACGCCGTGTGTGCGAGGTAAACACAAATACACATACTGCCCGAAAACAGATACATTGAAGAGAAAATGACATGAAGTCAGGACTTCTAATTAAAAAGTACAATTTAATCATGGATAAATCAGGTGACAGCACTCAGATTACTGATGATCAAGCAATAAAGTCCATGTGCTTCATGAAACGCCTCCACCAGTTCATACGATGACTGATGGAACCATTACTCAACATCCAAAGGCCTGTATTCCCGCAGGCATGTCTGCGACCTGCCGTATGTTGACTGGGTTTGGTTTGGCTGAGCTCACAGAAGGATACAGAATCTCTTGACTTTGCCGCGTCTAAACAATAAACACTATCTACGAGCCAAGCAGATGAAGGGCGGGCATTAGGCACTGCAAAGCTGGACAAGGATCAGAGCTAGAAAGAGCTATTTGTTCTGACGACCATTGAAGCGTGAGGTTTACACGACCATGACATGTTTGCCTGGGCTCTTATCATCCACACAGCAGCTTGCTCTCCAGCAGGTTAACAGTCAATGGCCATCGTCAACTTTCACAACAGCTTATTCGTCACTCTTGGCCTTGATCACAGCTAATAAATGACAGATCTGGCCAATAGGTCTGGAGTTTATTGGAAGAAAAGTGCAACAAAAACAACGATGATCCTGGTTATTTGCTTTTAAACATTGTGTCCTTAATAGTGAGGACATATCTACAGGCAGATGTGTTGCGATGTTATTGTTACACAGAAATAATAAGTGGTTGTTCTATGAACCTACACTCATCTACAAGGACTAAGAGAATTATAAACGAGCTGTATTTATACCCTTTATTGGACGGTGGGACACTTTGGGGATTTCGGGCACAGCAGCCACATTGCGCAACTATATTTGCATAGTGTTGGCAACTGTACAGATGTTGTAACATGTAACAGATTGCCTGATTTGCCTGCATATATGTGAGTAAACATGTAGGAGGCTTGTATATTCAAGCACCATCCTCTTCTCTGGAACAGTTTCTATTGGGATCTGAGTCGAAATAACTGAACGTGATCTGACATTGTTCCATATAGTTCTGTGGTCATGTCTGGAGGGAAGGAGGCTGGTGTGGCTTGTAATTGCTCAGCGAGGAGCAGGATCTGCGCTGGACAGGCTGTGACAGCACAAACTGAGAAATGAGAAGCAAATCTACTCTGTCCGACGCCTGCATCCTGGAAAGACAGCAAGAGGTTTCAGAAGAATAATTATCAGTGAAATATTATAAACTGCCCGATGAAAACAGCTACGCAGACTGCCAAATTTCTAAACTCGGAGCAAAGGTAGTTCATATCACAAAGGCAAGGATGTTATGTGAGGTGTCACCTGACGAGTGATGAGTCATGGAAGCTTTTTGGATTGTTAAAAATTTGACTGCTGTTGTCGAGGAGATTTTTAGTCCTGTTTTTCCTCCATTCTGCCGCTAAAAACCTTTGTATGAAAATAAGACACATACTACTGCCAAAATGCACAGGAATGAATTTTCCTCAGTGAGGTAATTCATGGGTGATGGTACCATGGACTCCGGTGAAACACTTCATGTGGGTAAACTCACTCTGTAACAAAAAAAAAAAAAAAAGGGTTAGCAGCTGTGGATTCATCTGTGGGAGTTGGCTGGCAGGCTGGCTATATAAAACACAGGGGGCAGACATTGTATAACATTAGTGATTTAGTGGTCTGCAGAACTCACGCTTTGTGTTGATTTGGCTGCAAATTTTTCCCCCCTTTTCCTGAAGCTCTACAAAAGGGTCTCACGCGAAAACAGAATTTTCTGGATGTGTTATTTCATTTGTCAGGCAAAATTGTTTAGCTTGGATGGAGAGGAGGTACAATCAGAGCTGTCATAAACTGATGGAGTCCCCCACTCTTGGCTCCATTTGTGATTTGTTAGAGTAATTAAGTCCTTACACAGTGAGCACACCAGCTCAGATGCGCGAGTGTGTGTGAGGACTCTTCACTCATGCTTCACTTTCGGTCATTGTGCCTCATTGATAGAAATTGAAACTATTACGGTTCGGTAAGAAGTGCTTGTTTGAATGGTGGCCATAAAAACCTCAGCAATACGTCTATAAATTCAAGACAACATAACTGATAAACATGTTGGACATAATATCTTCTGATACGATTTGAGTCCAAGTCACCAAAGTACATCACCAGTGTTTTCATGATTTTGGCACTAATGGCTCTTGAAAAAGGTGAGTTATTCTTGTTTGCGCACTACTGTGTGGGACTGAACCCTCACGTTTTCGGTTGGAAGGGAAGCACTCGTATTAAGTCTGTCCACGTCCATTCATTCATTCATCCATCACCGTATAATGATTTTCACTGGCTATGTTGAAACACGATTGGGTGAAATTTGAGAAACGCTGTGGACTTTTTGTTTTTCTACTTTGCGCTTAAACCAAAGAATCATAACTGTTTGTACAACAAGTTTAAAAATGCTGGTAGAGAAATAAACACAGACCTTCAGTTAGTACTGCACAGCAGTATACAAACATGGTGGCGCCATAAGCCCAGCTCTTGTCAACTGCGTAGTGAACACTGTCCAGCCCTTGGCATGTGTTCACTCAGTTTCCAGGATGTGCAGAGACTCAACGCACAAGTTCATAACAAACATCCTCCAGCGTAACTACACTCCCTCAGCTATACAAATACTTTTGAGTGCAGCCTAAACAATAGCCATCTGACACTAGATGCAATGTCCATTTCCACTTTCTGGCTGCTCTCCACATCCTTATGGGCCATTATTGGGCTCTCGACAATGTCTAAGTCATTATACCAGAAGTGATTTTAAAGTGATTTATGTGACAGCAAATTGTGTCACTTGACTGTCGTGAGTGCTCTTACAGTCCTGCATTTTAAAATCAGCAGCACAACTAAGCTCTTTGCTCTCTTTGATGGGTTACGTGTGGAAGGTAACCACACTGTGATGGATGTTTGTGTTTAGAGAGCAATTATACTCTTAAATGTATGACAGGTGTAGATCCTAATGTGCAAAAGAACCAGCAGAGAGCAGATGGGGGGAGTCCTCTGTTTGTGTGTGTGTTTAGTGGAACCAGAAGGGAGTAGCTGTTGAAATAGAAATGAAGAGTCTGCAGTCACGAGAGCGGCTCTCTTAGGCTGTACTGAGGCCCAGTGGTGCTTTCAGCTAAACGCTAATGTCAGTATGCGCACTGTGGACAATGACCCCTTCCCCACTTCCTACCCCCCTACTTCAGGTGCCCTTGCTTTGACCGCACCCATCTGACCTCGGCCTTCATTTTGATCTTAACTACACACCTGTTAAGGTGACTGCATCTAGTATGGTTTTGATGCTATTGCTGTGACAAAATATGTCTCCAGACATACAGAAATTTAAACACCTGGCAAAGTACTAAAAAAACACTCCTGTGGTAGTTCCCAATACAATAGGTTTTGCCATGATGACACAAACACAGAGTTAACAAAGTTAAAAAACAATACCAGCGTCGCTGTCGCGGCTGGTAATTTGCACTAAACGCAAAGTACAGCTGTGGCTGATGGGAATGTCATTAGTGTTTCAGCTACTTGGTCATAAACTAAAGTAAGTGTGATCTGATGGTGGCACTAGAGATAAAGGCTAAAGCATCACCAGCGTTACAACAATTCATCCTGAGGGGAACTGTAATGGTTGCCAAGATATTTCCCTCAAACACACAAAGTGGAACTCATGGTGGCGCTAGAGGAAAAATTTAGCCTCTGGGGACCATGAATGTTGGTGCAAAACTTCATGGCAAGTGATCCAACAGTTTTGAGATATGGTGGACAGATTGACCAACGAATGTGGCTAAAAACGACTGGCTTCCAAATGTTTAGATATAATATATTATTTTATCCTGTTAGGTTTGTTTATCATGTGTTGATTGCTTGTGGTACACTGGTCACTGCTGTACTAAACATAGCATTATGTTGCCATTTAATAATAATTCTGGACTAGATGTGCATGGTTCACACACATGGTTGTTTTGCCTGTATTAGAAACCACATAATCACAACCACAAGCCCTGATCCAACACACATCCCGTATTATCCACTCTCATCCCTCAGGAATCCATGTTTTTAATTTTGTTTAGCCAAGCGGAGGCACTTCTACCTACAACATCTGGTGATGACAGATATCTTACAGGAATTTATTTGAGAAATGGTATGAAATGTAAACAATATTTTCTATGCATTGTCATTTCAGACAGGAAGAGTAAGGCAGACCGACAAGATGATACAAACAGGAGAGAGAGGGAGAATGCACGCGGGCGAGGACGAGAAGGCAAAGACGGCAGTAGAGGAGGAGGAGGAGGAGGGGGGGGAGGAGGAGGGAAGAGGCGAAAAGGGCAGAGCACGACCACCACTGCTCCCAGCATCACAACCAGCTCTGTCAGCTAAACTCCATCGCCTGCTGGATGGGGCTGAGAGCAAAACAGAGACAATGCCTCATCCAGCAGCACCAGCCATAGACAAAGATCAAAGTGATGAAGGAATGGATTAATGCTGCTATGCATTGTAGAAGATGCAAAGAGAACTGGAGAATTGCTGCAACACAAAAGGCTTCAACTGAGCTTTTTGAATATATGAACATATCTGGAAGATACTGGTGTCTTAGTGTTGTTCAGAAAGAGTTGATGATTTTCACTCCTCCGTGAGGGATCGCTGTTGGACTGCAAAGCCACGTTGAAGATTGCGGTTCGACGCGGTTCGTGACGTATTAGTCACGTCTTGAACTAAGAACCAATTCCTGTGCAGCTTTCAAGCTGGAAGTCTGATAAGGAATGAAGGGTCTCTTTCGTCTCCTCTGGTCTATGATGTATTATGTTCCAGTCCGATTTCCATCACAATCTGTTCTTCATTTGTTTTTATGCTTGTGAGAAGTAGCAGATGGATTTTCTCAACAGCCGATTTACGTGATGTAAAGACAATGAATACCATTAAGTCTTTGTATCTTTATGTCCTGTTGTGAGATGAAACAAAAACAAGAAAGGCACTGGAAATCATTTGTGATTGTTGAGGACAAAAGGTCTTCTATACAGTGTATTATTTCAAGGAAGAAATTTGTAACAAAAGAAGCCGAAGAGAAGATTTAGGAGAATTACTGGCTCATTTTCCTCCCCGTTTGCCATTCGATAGCTTAGTTGTTTGTTTCGAATTAAATGTTGCTGTTTGTATCAGAAAATAACTGACCATAAAACGAGGAATAAAAACAGGAGTATTTGCATGTGTACAAGGTTGCATGTGTTTGCCTTTGTGCATGCAAAGATGTGTGTGTCTGTGTGTGTGTGTGTGCGCGTTTTTCTCCACCTAAAGTCTAGTTGTTTGTGTACTTTGTATGCATTTGTGCACGGAATCAAGTTTGTCAATGGAACTTTTGTACATGTGTGTTTACGTTTGCACATATGTGTTAATATTGGTCTCATAGATTGAAGTAATAGGTTCTGGAAAACACAAGGAGGGAAATGTAAATGCACAGCGATATATATCAAATATGCAGTAACTACAAGCCACTGATTATCATATAAGCCATCAAATCATCAGCTGCTCAGTAATCATATCTGTTTGCAACAGGGTCTGAAGATTTTGCACAACTATGTTTCCTACTGCTGAAGTTTCAGAACAAAGCATTTTACACGTTTGTACTCCAAAAGCTTCATGACATTACAGATACAGAGAAAAGGGATTTTTTCCTAGAACTTTTTTCATTGGGTCTGTTTGCTTTACACGAGATATTAGTTTCAGGAGAAGTTACACGCTACATTATTCATTCATACTATGGATTGCGATACAGAATATTTCAAACTGTGTTTATCATACAATTATTAGAATCATCATGTATAGCTTATTCTGTGAAAGCCTAAATAAAGATCAGATGAAGCTGATTGGAACTTCAGTCATACACTGATTTTGCTATTAGTTTGTTTGATTTCAGTTGGAATGATTTTGTCTGCAACTGATCCAACGTTTATTCATCCAGAGTTGATTCTTAAGGTATTCTCAGTCTATGCTAGTGCCACATATACACTTGTATGTATTGTAATGAGACATTTTACACAGAAGGACACATTCTTATCAAGACTATACTGTGTTGAGGATCATTTTGTTTTACAATTTGGGTTATATTTTTGCCAATTATTTCTATTGGTTGTCGTAACAAGTTAAATGCCCCATATTGTAGAAAGTTAAATTTCCAGCTTGCTGTATATTATCCCGCTTATTACATGTTACTTACTAAAGAAAGCAATAATTCGACACAAAAACAAATCTTTGAAAGTTATTTTATTGAATTGAAAGAAAATTGACTTTTCTCAGGTTGGCCAGACTTTTTGAAAGAAAAGAAAATCAAATCAAATAAACGCTATTTAGTAACTAAGTTGTTTAGTTGTCATTACATACCATTGAAATCAATATAGTAGAAGGATGACAAAAGGCACACAGCATCAGCAAACTTCAATTCTTCATGATATAAAATACAGATATACAGTCAAAATAAAAAAATAAAAGTACAATAAATAAATAAAATGTCTGTTCTTAATCTGTGCATATACAGCTTTCATGTGCGATGGATTATTATCAACATTTCAGGTGTGCTCACTTGTGGTTCTACCGCCAATTGAAATGGCTCAAATAATCTGGATTAACTTGTTTACAGCATGTCTGACCACTGGTGGTGTTTGCCCATTCAGATTTCATGGCAGTAAATTCAAGCAATTACACTTGCGTAACCAATAGAATTATGGCCCAAACTATTAATTTAAGACCTAAGTGGCACTTAACAGGAATTATCCTTCATGGGGATAGTTTAATCATCAATCTGGTGTTGATGAAACAATAAATCAGGACAATTTTGATCGTTTTGTGATAGACTTTTCCCTTTAGCCCTGCCGTCATAATCTTATGGGGAAAGTTTGAATGGCTAAGTACTCATCTCTTATTCCCTGACCTGAACTCAATCAAAACCTCAAAAAAGAAGAACCATAAACAAAGTCTGCTGGGAGTACGATGCTATCTATCAGCCGAGAGCCCTCAGTAGTTATGGTATGGTCTTCCTCAGGCTACAGGAGGCCATCTTGGGAAGTGGAGGAGCTTAGATGGTGCGATGGTCCCGATCACCCGCCAAATGCTGGCGCCTGGGCAAGGGTCGTAAAAGCAGAGACAGAAATAAAAACTAATGGTGTGTCATAGCCAGAAGGGAGGGGGTATACCATGCCTTGGCCTGACAACAAAACAGCCGTTTCTCATTACCAAAAGGGAGGGCAGGGGGAATGGTAGAGTATGCACCGTAAATTACACATTCATCGCTCTTCCTGACCATAAATTCTTACCCTGGCTCCATTGGATGGAGCTCTCCCTCACCTCCCACTCTCTCTTTTTCACTCTGTTGTTCCCCATTCCCATGTTTTCCAAGAGAAATGAATGGTAAATCTTTGGAGTATATGGGTACCCTTGATTTGCCAAAATCTTTAACACTGAATGATTTCATTACTTTAGTTTGGCCTTTAAGCCAAACATCACGTCAGTAGGGAACACCCAAGACATGTCTGCATGACTTAAACGTGCAATCCCTGATCCAAATGTAAACAAAAGGGTACCACCACTGTATCACAACTCATAATCAGAGCCCAATATCACTCTCAAAGGGACTTACAGTTGTTTAAATACTATTAGACTACAACTAAATCTAATTCATTAACGTTCTCTAATCCCGTTCATGGTTTGTGAGTGGAAATAATGTCAACAATGTTATGCTATCTTTTGCAGAAATCTCATCTGCATCTGACAGTCTTCATCATGGAGCTGGCTCAGGTGTTATCATGTGACCTTAGTGTGGAACATCAACTAAAAGATGCAGTTAAAAGCTCCAGAAATAGTAAGTGGGCCTGCGAGTTGAGGTTCAAGGTTGCTTTTATAGTCTACCAAAAGATTGTCCAGGAATATTGTCCAGGAATAAAGGAAATGCTGCTGCAGCAGAGAGACGTCACAAAAAAAGGCACCTCTTCTTCCATGTTACCAGAAGTATGTGTCACACATATTGTTGCCGAGATCAAGGATGAACCTCCATGGTTTCGTACCAGTAATGCTTTTCAACACAAAGAAAGTCAAAGGAAGAAAAACACTCACTGTATTTTCAATTATAATAATTTAAAAACTCAAAAACATTTTCTTTAACAAAGCATTACTTTAGCTGCAACATAATTTTGCAGAAATGATGTATTGCTTCCTCAGAATAATCCACAGACAGGTCACGTGAAGGCTCTGACAACAAGGATTTGTTTCTGGAAAGACATGTTGCTGTTGAGCTATTCAAATGCAACTATCATACAAAGCGAGGAACATGAATAGAATATCTAATTTCATGAATAATAATTCCATTTACCTCAAGTGACCTGTATTGGGACATAGATATGTCAAAAATATTGCTATATAGCAGCAACATTTCCTTAGTCAATGTTTTGCAGTTCCCTTGACACGTGACACAATACGTATAAATCTCAGTATGGTGTTCCGTCATCAGCCGGGGGAATAAGAGGTTTGGGGTACATGAGGTCATGGAGTCTCCTTCTGAGTCACCAGTGACTGCCAGCAGCATCTACTGGACCCTTCCCTCTCAGTATAGTGGGGTCCAGCTCTTTAAAGATTAGCCTTTGGCGATGTCCTGTCAGCAATCCCACTGATCATTTCCATCTCTGAAGCTCCACAACCATCCTCTCTCTATGGCTCGAGATCTGAGCAGTTGAATCTGGACATCTACAAAGAGAAAATGAGTTGTACATCAACACTGACAGCATTCTATGTTTGATCAGCAGCAGATATCTAAAAAAAAACAGGGCTGCCAAATCAAAATAACAAAACTATTTAAATGTTTTGGGGAAGCCAAGACTATTTGCAAGAGAGATAAATTTACATCTGATGATAGTTGAAAGACATAAGTCACTTGAAATGGAAATCAAAGCTGAGTGTAGTGAGCAAAAATCTGGCAAACTAGGGTTCAATGCTCAGTGTCAATGCCCAGAGATATTTACTGAATTTCAGCAGTATCATCTGTAGCTGATCCTTGCTGCAGAAGGAAGAAAGTAAAGGTAGGATTTCTCTGGAAGAAACAATGGTGTATTACGCATCTTTTATTTTAATAATAAGTGGAAAACCTGAGGCATGCATGAGACAAGCAGCATCCTTAATGATATTTAGTTTCCATTTAGCTGCCTTGATTTAACCCAAATGTGTCTGAGGCTCAGGAAAAAGTCACAAACTCCTGATGCAGTAGAGGAAAAGTTTAGAAGATGCTTGTAGAATTGTAGATATGATACTTGATATGTACTGCCGCCTTTTGGAAGTAATCAGTACTACATGGGGGAAAGAAACTATCAAACACGTTCTATAGTTAAGTGTGTGTGTTTCATGTGTACAGTACAGGCATATTCAGAGGGGGGCAAAAGAGAAAGGAGACACTGCAACTAACCGTCTGTGCTGTGAATCGTTTGATATTTTACACATATTAACAATAATTTAACACTCTTTTCAGTTGAATATTTTAATTAACAGGGTTTGTAAATTGCACTTTGATTTCAGCACAGTTACAAAGAGCGTATTCATACAATGTCCTAAAACGCAATGTATGTATTTGGTGTAGTTCTTTGTAATTATTTACTATGTATATTTTAATATGACAACCTGCGATCTGTTGACCATGATCTTAATTATTGGCAGCTGAATGTGAATTTATGTTTTATGAACAAACATTTTTCAAGAATTTAATCGAAACGTTATGAATTTATTTGTTTGGGGTGAGCATGGAGGAATGGTGTGGCAGTTTTTTTCAGAGAGTGGAGGTAGAGATATGGGTGGCAGGCCGAAGCAACATTTCATGTCATGAAATTCATTTTATTTTCACAATAAATGATGAAACCTATGGTGGTATGTAATTGCAATGAAAGAAATGACCACAAGAGGGGGCCATGAAAACATAAAACACTTCACATCATCCAACAAATAAGCCATCAGTAACTATAATATATGGCATTACCATTATCATATGAATTTGTTTGCTGTGCTATAAGATCAAAGTAGAGGTCGTGCAGATTTGGCAATCCAAATAAGTAAAAGCTTTCTTTGTCAAAAGAGTTTTGAAAGTTGTTGGACTGGGAGAGAGAGCTGCAAAGCCCAGAAGAAAAGAGAAGAGAAAGTCAAAAGAAATTCAATCATAACAATCTTCCATGACCGTATTGAAGAAGTAACACGTATTTTATAATTCATCTGTTTACATTTTCCAGAGACAATTTGTTTTTCTCCAGAATATCAAAACAAAAGAAGCCAGATTTACGCCTACATGCGTTTGCTACTATGGTGTCGTTTAACTTTTCATGATAGACGTGTGACTTTCTGCCCTGAACATCATTCTACACTTGTATTTCAAAGTTTTGTGAGTGTATTTTATAGCAATATGAGCTTGAAAAAAATCCTTTTTGTTCGGCAGTTGTTTGCTATTCATGACGTTTATGAGGAGGATGTAGAAATGTATGAAATATATTCATCTCGATCTATCTATTCCTCTCAAGACATTTACATCTATAAACTACATCTCACACATCATCTTGATAATCTGCCTGTCCAAGTAAATCCCTTCAAATGATGGACGTACGCACTTTTCTCTTTCACTCCATCAAAATTCATCTCTTATACAAGTTCTCTTTTTTTAAACAGGAATCATATCTCTCCTTATACACAAAGCTGTAGGGCTTATCGGGTTC